TGATCTGATGGATATATTTTGTCCATTTTATATGAAATAATTTTAGTTATTTGCATCATAGGTGTCAAATAACTTGTTATAAGCATTAGATTCTGAGTCGTGCACTTGTATTATATTTTCACAGCTGGACTATTTTCTTGTCAGAATTCATTTTTCAGTTGAAGTATCACAGTTCAAACTGTTTTCAGTGTTACATTTGCATGTGGTCTCCCTGCTGTAGAATTCAATTATATATGTCTATGCATGTAGATGAACTATTTAGAAATAGCTGAAATACTGGAGAGAAGCTTGTGCTAATCTCCTTGGTGTAATTCCCTAAAATGCTTCGAAAAATGAATTGACATCTTGTTTTTCAGTTGAATCTGATGATGATCATGAAGATTTATTTGCAGCTGCCAATTCTGCCCGTAATGCTAGCAGTATGCATCTTGGCAACTCTCTCTCTTTCATACTTTTATCTTGTAGAGCCAGCTCTTTTCTCATATATCTTAATTTCAATAACTCATGTTCTGCTTGTTCTTGTAGGTCTTGCCTGTTCTGGTAAATTTTGGAAGAAAATGGAGTCTATTTTTGCTTCTCTTAGCTTGGAGGATATGACGTTCTTGAAGCAGCAGGTAGTAACTGGCATACATGGTTTGTTATTGATTTTCCGATTCTCTTTGGATGAGAGACTTACAATTTCTTTTTCTTCTTTCTATTTTGACACTGCATCAGCTAAGTTTTTCAGAGGAGCTTGAAGAGAGTTTGTCCCAGATTTTTGGAGATGAATATAACCTCTTGGTACTAATTAAGATTCATTTAAACTCTGATGATCCACAAGAAAAAGAAAACATAAAATAATAATTAAAAAAAACCTTTAATTAGAAGTCTGTTTTGGACCTTCAACTGCCAAGTTTTTTCTTTTTCTTTTTCCTCTTGCAAACTCAGAGGAGAAAAGGGATGAGTAGGAACTAATTTTTATTATCTTCCAGGGTATTCTGGTGCATAAAGATCTTGATCGTCCTAGTGAAGGCCAAGAAAGCCGCCTAAATCAAGAAACAGCTAAGAATGATGGTTTATGTGGAAGGTTTGATATGGGAAGGTTGGACAAGGTTACTCCATTGTACCAAAGAGTTCTTTCTGCTTTGATTGAAGAAGATGAAGCTGAAGAATTCTACCATCACAGTGAAGGGAAGAATCTGTCTCTTCACTATGCAAGTGATGATTCCCATTGTGGTTCATGTAACCAGATTGATATTGAACCCAAAGATAGAGACCGAATGGAATCTGAGGTTGAGTCTGAAGCAGATTTCCACAGTCAGAAGAATTGTTTGTTGGACAGGCTTTCGTGTGATAAGAGTGCTGTATCTAACACATTTAGGAACCCAAGCATGTCTAGTTCATTACAAAGCAATGAACAGTGGTTGGGAGATGATGATTTATCACATTTAGATGTTGGTCTTGCCAGTGAAATATGCTCAAATGACCTGACTCAGATGCAACCAAGGGAAATAAATGTTCCTGCTTTTCCTACCTCTGATTGCCAATATCAACTTATGTCTCTTGATGACAAGATCCTCTTGGAGTTACAGAGTATCGGTTTATATCCGGAGACATTGGTAAGATATTATTCCATAGCTTGATCCTTAATGTTTTCTGTATGGGTTTCACACCAGGGGTAGAATCATTTAAGTTTGTGTTATGGTTATTCTTCATTTTTATTTTCTCATGTTTCGTTTGCCTTGTTGCAGCCTGGTCTGGCGGAGGGAGAAGAAGTTATAAATCAGGATGTTATGGAACTTAAGGAAGGGCTTCACCAACAGGTTGGATATTTACAGATCATCATGTTGTGCTGTTCAATAAAATTTTTCTTCATTAGTCCTTTTCTCATATTCTTTTAACACTTGGCTTTCATGTTAGATACCCTTCTTCCTTTTTCTTGTTTGGTCTTCTATATTCCTTCTGATCTTATGTTTCTTATTATTGACGACTATTATGGTTGTATTGATAGATTAAGAAAAAGAAGAAAAACTTGAGGAAACTTGATAAAGCCATTCAAAAAGAGAGAGATGTGGAAAGGAGGTATGGTTCAGAATGATGTAGATGTCTTCTTTATATGGAACATGGTAATGTTTGGATTAGAATAATGTAGTTTAATTTGCAGGAACATTGAGCATGGTGCAATGGACCAACTTATTGAAATAGCTTACAGAAAAAGAATGGTAATTTTATATTTTTTTATTTCATTTATAGTATTAATTTAGAGCAGTTAATCTGTGTTCCATATTTATTTTTTAAATCTATGGAAAAAGAGATTTTTAATTTTTCTTCCTGAATCTTAGTTGCTCATTTTGCATATGTTGCTCCAGCTGGTGATTTAGATTTCTCATTGAAAATCATGTCAATAGTTATAAAAATTGACAAAGTATATTTTTCTCTATCGGCATTGAGGTATAGCCAATGCTATCAGTCTGTTCACAATCAGATACAAAAGACATTAGTCTTTTCACGAATAAAAAAGTTCAAATACATTAGCCTGAACAATACTTTTCTAGGGATTTGGTGATGTTACTGGCCTAATAACATTACCGTTTGGTAGTTGCTGTTGGATTGACTTGTATTGATGCTCTGCATTTTTAATTTAAGCCAATCCAATGGTAGTTATTGATATATGGTAACACCTAATATGGTATTATTCCCATTTCTAACATGGATTCCGATATAGTGTATTATTGATGGCCTCTTGATTCTTTTTTTGTCAGAGGTGAAACAAAATCTAAATTTGCATTAATATTTTTGTGCTTTTTGTCATTCGATATTGATATCAGTGGTATCGCTTGTCTTTAGGTGTACGTCTTCATTCGCTCCTTTGCATGTTTTGGTTTTTGTGGTGGTTTGCTTGTAATTTGTTTTTGTTATTTTATTTTATTTACTTATTCCTACTTTGCAGAGTATTTCTCTTCAGTGTGATGTTGGGCTTGCATTTAAAATGAGCAAACTTCTTGTGTTAATGTGTTTATAGAGCAATTTTCTTCAGTGCATTTCACTGCAATAATTATTGCATTAAGTCTGATGTATTGGGAAATTTTAGAAAGGCCATTGGACCAAAATCTGTGTGAAGATTTAAGTGAAGAGCTATTGTATGTTTAGAATTACATATCACAGCATTTTATGTGTTTTAAATATTTGTAAGTTTTAGATGGTTTAAGTTTCTACATATTCAGGCTTGTCGTGGGAATCACACTTCAAAGGCTGCAGTTCGTAAGGTTTCAAGACAAGTTGCAATGGCTTTTGTCAAACGAACTCTCGCTAGATGTAGAAAATTTAAAGATACTGGCAGTAGTTGCTTTAGTGAGCCTGCACTGCAGGATGTCTTGTTTTCTGCACCTCCATGCAGCAATGATGCAAAATCTGCTGACTGTGTTGGCTCAGGAACAGCTAGTAATACATGCAATGAAGTGTCTAACCATCAAACAGAAGCCAAGGGATCAGGTATGTAAAATGCACAAAAAGTCTTTTATGTTCTGTACATGATGCCCATGAATGCTATTATATTTATGTTTTAATCTTTACGAGGGGTGTGCACACCGGAAACTTTATGGACTTGGAGAGCATAAGAAAGATCTCCCATTTCAAGGAGAACTTCATTGAGAAAAAAAATTCTTTCTGATCATATTTATGCAAGTAGTTTGATGTTCATTTCACATCATGTTTTCTTTTACTGCTGCAGGTGCTGTCTCCAGCACTTTTAAGAGATATGATACCCCAAGTGATAATCTTGACAGAGTTTCTTCAGATGCTTTCCAAGCTGGTTTTCACTCATCTGAACATGCTTTCCCCAAGCATGGAATTATTCTGAAGAAGGCAAAGAGGGAAGTACTGATTGATGATGTTGTTGGCTGTGCCTCCTCTAGGGTAACTTCAACTCTTGACAACTCTAATCTTGTTGGTGGAGCAAGAGGAAAGAGAAGCGAGAAAGATAGGGATCTAAACAAGGATAATTACAAAAGTATCTCTGTTTCCTTAGCTTGTCGCTCATCATTGGACAGCCTCAAGAATGAACGCAAAACAAAAGCGAAGTCCAAGCACAAGAATAATCACTCATCTACTTCTGTCAGTGGACTTCATGGAAGGTCTTCTGTGATCGGATCTAAGCCGTCACTGGCCAACACTAGTAATAGAAGGGGCAGAGAAGTGGGATTATCATCGCCTGGTAAAGTTTCTGAGGAATCATCGAAAGCAGAGGAACCGGTAGATTTTGCGAACTTGCAACTGAATGAATTAGATTCCGTGGATATAGGTGTATCCAACGACCTTAGTGGACCTCAAGATCTCAATAGTTGGTTAAACTTTGACGGATTGCAAGACCATGATTCTATAGGTCTTGAAATCCCGATGGATGACCTCACAGATTTGATGTTGATGTAAAGAAAATCTAATGTCTATATTTGTGCAATTTTGTGGTTTAGCTTTATATTGTTGGAATCATAGTAATGTGAGGTTATTTCAACTAGTCGAAGCTAAGTCGAGATGATTGAGGAATGTAATTATAAATTGATTCTTTCGTATACCAAGTAATTTAATGAAGTTTGATTGTTATTGTGAAATGTGATCCCAAGAAATTCTTGCCCATGCGGAAATCAGTCATTAGCCATTGAACTCTTTTATTTTGCACAGAAATCAACGAACAACAAAGAATACTTGAGAGTGCTCTTTCTTTAATAACTGTGGGTATAGTTCTTATTTTTCCCCTTAAAAATAAAACAAAATAATGTTTTACTAAATTTTAGTAATGAGGTGTGATTTAGTCTTTCAAGTAAAATAATCAAACAATGGAGTGAATAAAGCAAAGAGAAATGTGAGAAGTATAAAAGGAGACTGGGAAAAAATGTCAAGAGGGAAGTGGAGANGGCATTGAGGTATAGCCAATGCTATCAGTCTGTTCACAATCAGATACAAAAAACATTAGTCTTTTCACGAAAAAAAAAAAGTTCAAATACATTAGCCTGAACAATACTTTTCTAGGGATTTGGTGATGTTACTGGCCTAATAACATTACCGTTTGGTAGTTGCTGTTGGATTGACTTGTATTGATGCTCTGCATTTTTAATTTAAGCCAATCCAATGGTGGTTATTGATATATGGTAGCACCTAATATGGTATTATTCCCATTTCTAACATGGATTCCAATATAGTGTATTATTGATGGCCTCTTGATTCTTTTTTTGTCAGAGGTGAAACAAAATCTAAATTTGCATTAATATTTTTGTGCTTTTTGTCATTCGATATTGATATCAGTGGTATCGCTTGTCTTTAGGTGTACGTCTTCATTCGCTCCTTTGCATGTTTTGGTTTTTGTGGTGGTTTGTTTGTAATTTGTTTTTGTTATTTTATTTTATTTACTTATTCCTACTTTGCAGAGTATTTCTCTTCAGTGTGATGTTGGGCTTGCATTTAAAATGAGCAAACTTCTTGTGTTAATGTGTTTATAAAGCAATTTTCTTCAGTGCATTTCACTGCAATAATTATTGCATTAAGTCTGATGCATTGGAAAATTTTAGGAAGGCCATTGGACCAAAATCTGTGTGAAGATTTAAGTGAAGAGCTATCGTATGTTTAGAATTACATGTCACAGCATTTTATCTGTTTTAAATATTTGTAAGTTTTAGATGGTTTAAGTTTCTACATATTCAGGCTTGTCGTGGGAATCACACTTCAAAGGCTGCAGTTCGTAAGGTTTCAAGACAAGTTGCAATGGCTTTTGTCAAACGAACTCTCGCTAGATGTAGAAAATTTAAAGATACTGGCAGTAGTTGCTTTAGTGAGCCTGCACTGCAGGATGTCTTGTTTTCTGCACCTCCATGCAGCAATGATGCAAAATCTGCTGACTGTGTTGGCTCAGGAACAGCTAGTAATACATGCAATGAAGTGTCTAACCATCAAACAGAAGCCAAGGGATCAGGTATGTAAAATGCACAAAAAGTCTTTTATGTTCTGTACATGATGCCCATGAATGCTATTATATTTATGTTTTAATCTTTACGAGGGGTGTGCACACCGGAAACTTTATGGACTTGGAGAGCATAAGAAAGATCTCCCATTTCAAGGAGAACTTCATTGAGAAAAAAAATTCTTTCTGATCATATTTATGCAAGTAGTTTGATGTTCATTTCACATCATGTTTTCTTTTACTGCTGCAGGTGCTGTCTCCAGCACTTTTAAGAGATATGATACCCCAAGTGATAATCTTGACAGAGTTTCTTCAGATGCTTTCCAAGCTGGTTTTCACTCATCTGAACACGCTTTCCCCAAGCATGGAATTATTCTGAAGAAGGCAAAGAGGGAAGTACTGATTGATGATGTTGTTGGCTGTGCCTCCTCTAGGGTAACGTCAACTCTTGACAACTCTAATCTTGTTGGTGGAGCAAGAGGAAAGAGAAGCGAGAAAGATAGGGATCTAAACAAGGATAATTACAAAAGTATCTCTGTTTCCTTAGCTTGTCGCTCATCATTGGACAGCCTCAAGAATGAACGCAAAACAAAAGCGAAGTCCAAGCACAAGAATAATCACTCATCTACTTCTGTCAGTGGACTTCATGGAAGGTCTTCTGTGATCGGATCTAAGCCGTCACTGGCCAACACTAGTAATAGAAGGGGCAGAGAAGTGGGATTATCATCGCCTGGTAAAGTTTCTGAGGAATCATCGAAAGCAGAGGAACCGGTAGATTTTGCGAACTTGCAACTGAATGAATTAGATTCCGTGGATATAGGTGTATCCAACGACCTTAGTGGACCTCAAGATCTCAATAGTTGGTTAAACTTTGACGGATTGCAAGACCATGATTCTATAGGTCTTGAAATCCCGATGGATGACCTCACAGATTTGATGTTGATGTAAAGAAAATCTAATGTCTATATTTGTGCAATTTTGTGGTTTAGCTTTATATTGTTGGAATCATAGTAATGTGAGGTTATTTCAACTAGTCGAAGCTAAGTCGAGATGATTGAGGAATGTAATTATAAATTGATTCTTTCGTATACCAAGTAATTTAATGAAGTTTGATTGTTATTGTGAAATGTGATCCCAAGAAATTCTTGCCCATGCGGAAATCAGTCATTAGCCATTGAACTCTTTTATTTTGCACAGAAATCAACGAACAACAAAGAATACTTGAGAGTGCTCTTTCTTTAATAACTGTGGGTATAGTTCTTATTTTTCCCCTTAAAAATAAAACAAAATAATGTTTTACTAAATTTTAGTAATGAGATGTAATTTAGTCTTTCAAGTAAAATAATCGAACAATGGAGTGAATAAAGCAAAGAGAAATGTGAGAAGTATAAAAGGAGACTGGAAGAAAAACGTCAGAGGGAAGTGGAGAAAAGGGAGTGCTTGAATTTTATTAAGTGATTTTCATGCATTCTAAACACAAGGGTTGAGGTCTTATTTGTAAAACCTCAAGCCAACACCTTACATTAAATGAGCCATAATTTCTTTATATCAAGGAATGACCCCTCCACAAATCATTGTTGGATACCAGCCAATAAATTGCATCTGACTTTATTAAGAAAAACTCGACGGGATAAAGCCTAGGCAAAGTTATAATAAAAATTAAAGTGTTAAAAACTGTCAATAAAATCTAGTAAGACAAAATTTGATCAAGGGAAAAAGAGTACAGTAAACTCAGGAGGACAAAACCTTATCAAGGGAAAAATAATACAATACACATATATCCAATACAATTGCCTTGTATGAAATTGACTCACCTTGATAAGTACCCCCTGATCATAATAGAATATAACATTATATTGAATAGCCCTGAGTCGTGCATACTAATGTCATGTACCAATTTCATAAACATTGATGTCAACAAGTTTTTAGTAAATAAATCAACAAGATTGTCACCAGAACATATCTGCTTTATGTGAATTTTTCGATTCTATTGAAGTTCAGTTGTGTAAAAATAATTTTTGTGGGATATGTTTGGCTCTGTCTCTCTTGATATATCACCTTCTTACTTGAACAATACATGCTATATTTTCTTTAAATATAACAGCTGAAGATTCTACAATGTAGGACAATTTATATGTATTCTAGATATGATGGATGATAAAGCACAACCATAAGCATTTTTGCTTAAGTTCATAGAGTGCAAGGATTTCTGAGTGGTTAGAATATAAGCAACTAGAGTTTGTTTTATGGATCGCCATTATTTTGTTGTGCCATTGTAAGTAAAGACTTATCTTAACTGCGAGCGGGCTTTATTAAGGTTAGAAATTTATTAATAAACGTCTGTGCATCCAACTAAACCAGGATCTTAAGAAGATTTAATAAAATAGAATAATCTCAAATCTTAAATTCCACATCGGCAATGAATATATTCTTGATTTTGTTCCAGTGTCGACAAATTGGTGCAGAGTCCAATCATGATAGTAAATTTACTAAGATATGTGTAGTCTAGTGCATTGTGGCAAATATAATAGGGCATCAATACCATTGAGATTAAGTAGTTCAGTAACAAATTATTTTTTCATTTTCTTCCTTAGGACTAAATAGATCCTTTTTAGGATCAAGAGACCTATAAACCATTAGGGTCCTCAAAGAATGAACCTTATCCATAATATTCTCATGATCATAATATAAAATCACATATCAAATTGGATAATCCTGAGTCGTTGCATGCTAATACCATGTAACAATTTCATAACCGTTGATGTCAACAAGATTTTAGTAAACAAATCAATAAGGTTGTCACTAGGACGTATCTACTTGACATCAATTTCTCAGTTTCTATTGAAGTTCAAAGATTGTTCCCCTATCCTGCCATTTAAATTAATGCTTTGTGAAATGATTTTTACCTCTCTTCTTTAGGGAGCCTTCTAAAGATCATTTTATGCCCTTAATTTCATATTGATTTCAATACAAAATTTTACTTTGTTTTGTCATCAATAAAAAAAGGGGGAGATTGTTAGACCCTTGTATGTTTTGATGTGCCAAAACTAGCAAAATAATTGAATTAAGAACTAATAAGATTCTAAGACATGATATAAGTCAAAAATGAAAATGTAGAAATTAAATTTGGAATGCCTATTCATCAAAGAGGAGTGCCCATCCCCAACTCCAGGCAAGCCGTTCCTTACGGAACAACCCTGTTCCTAAAGCCGTTACACATTCTGCCCAATCTGAACAAAACTCCAAGCAAGCTGCTCCATACAAAATGACCTCATTCCTCTAGCCCATTCATCATTTTGTCCAAAATGAGCACTTAAAGATTTGAAGTCGACGCCCATTCCACATTATAGAATGCTTGTTTATTTATCCTCCAAGTCATTCCAAGCAGGAATGACATCGTTCCTCTGATCGTTTATCATTCTGCCAAGTTTGGAAGAAATTGAAGATTCAAGGCAGGAACTCCTGTTCCAAGAAAAGGAATGCCCGTATCTCAAGTTGTTCCCAAGAGTAATGACATCGTTTCACTACCTGTTACACATTCTGAAAAAAATTGCACAATTTGGATCAAGGATGGAATGCCTATTCAAGGAGAAAGAACATCCGTTCCTAGGCAATGAACAACCGTCCTCAAGAATGGAACGCGCGTTACTAGTTGTAAAATTCAAATTTTATGATCATTGGAATCAGGAAAGCTTGTCCCTATGTTAGGAACGCCCATTCCTCTGTATTGTGCAGCAAAAGTTGAAATTTGTAGCCTTCCCCAACGGCTCTATCAGACTATAAATCAAGTCAAGGTATATAAAAACAAAGTCCGAAGAAGAGAAAAAGAAGAACAACCACAAAAAACAAGCCATATATTTTTGCAAGATCAAAATCACTCTTTTGAGCTAAAATTCTATATTCTTTCATCAATCACTTTCTTAGATCCTCATTCAATATTTTTTAGAGAGTTCATTTGTAAAAAAAAAAAAGTTGTGTATCAGCCTAGTTGAGACGCAAACACCCACGAACATCTTTCATTCCTTTTCATTTGGCGAAATACTGTAAAACTAGTGCAATTAGTGAGATCTTGTAAAACTATAGGCGGAATCCTGTAAAACTGCTGTATATTGGCGAAATCCAAGTCTAGTAGAACCTTGAGGACGTAGTAGGCTCTTGATGACAACTCTGAACCACTATAAACTCTCCGAGCATCTCTCTTCCCTACTCTTTTACTTTTCCGTCACTTATGTTGTTTATATTTCGCTTATATTGTGTATAGATTTACTTTGTGTGCTAAATTTTAATTCTGCAATTAAGTTTAATTACTCATATTCACCCCCTTTAGGAGTATTTGCCATATAGGGTTTTACAATTGATGTAAGAGCTTGGGCTCTTGTACAGAAAAATCTAACGATTGTAAGAGTTAAAGATCTAGATATGGCTAGCACATCAACAACTCTTTTTAGTGAAGGACATTGCACCACCAGAGCATCATTTTTGTGGTGTCAACTATGCACAATGGAAAATTAGGATAAGACTTCACATTAGGTCTATTGATTATAGTTTGTGGAAAATAGTAGAGAAATGGAACTTTGTTCCAAAGAATCCTGTAACAAACTTGCGAGGAAGAAGAATATACGGTTGATGATGAAAAGAAACTGAATATGAATGATAAAGCTATTAATATATTGTTTTGTGCCGTTGATGCTACAGAGTTCAACAGAGTTTCAACTTGTGAATCAGCAAAACAAGTCTGGGAAATTCTACAGACAACACATGAAGAAACAAGTCAAGTAAAGGAGTCAAAGATTGAAATGCTCTTAAGAGATTACGAGGTATTTGAAATGAAGAACGGAGAAAACATTATCGAAATGTAGAAGAGATTCTCAAATTCAGTAAATGATCTCAAAGGATTGGGGAAGAAGTTCGAAACCATCAAACTTTTGAGGAAAATATTTAAGATCATTGCCAGAGAGCTGGGTCATGAAGGTTACAACAATTGAAGAATCAAATGATCGATCAAAGATGCAAGTGGATGAATTAATCGAAAGTCTTCTAACCTTTGAAATGAAGAGAAAAACTGTTGGTTTCAGCAGGAGAACACCAGAGAGAAAGAAAAACAGAGCACCATAAAAAAATACAGCAAAAAGGCTTATCATCTTCATTGAAGAAAGACAGTATATAACACTTAACANCTAGATTAGCAATGCTTGGAATCACGTCAAGTTCAGTAATGAACTTCTTGATCCAAACCGCCTACACGACAGCATTAAAAATGCGATACACTTAGCATCAATTGTAGAATTTGCTGCAGTACACTGATTTGAGCTATTCCAGTCACTGCAGTCACATTGAGACAAAATTGTGTAATCCCAAATTGTGAACTATATCATCCTTTTCCCACTAGGAAATAGTGTCACTGTATCCTCTTACAGTGAGCTCATCTTTCCCTCCATAATCCAAGAATATATATTCTTAAGCCTTTTTCAAGTACTTAAGAATGTCCATTGACACTCATTCAGTGTCATTCACTTGGATTTAGTTGATATCTTTTACTAGTACTGAATGCACATAAGACATCAATCTAAGTACATAACATATTGCTCACTTGAGCCTGATTGATATCCACCACAGGTGCTGAATGCACATTAGATATCAATCTGAGCATACAAGATGGATCCACTTGCTAAAGCATGTGGGATCCTCTTCATTCTATCCCTCTCATTGTGTGGTTAAGGACACATATCCTTACAGAGATAGATACCATATGCCATTAGAAGAAATCCCTTCTTGGATTTTTCTATACTGAATGTGTTCAGTACCTTGTCTATGTACTCTGACTTAGTTTAAGCAACCTACAGGATCTATCACGATAGACCCTTATTCCAAGGATGTAGGCTGTTTCCCCTAAGTCCTTCATGGAGAAGCACTTGGATAACCAAGTCTTTACCGACTGCAAGTTCGGTATATCATTCCCAATCAGAAGTATGTCATCGACATACAACACTGGGAATGCTACTACGCTCTCACTCACTTTCTTATAAACATAGGGCTCATCTTCGTTCTTGATAAAGCCGAATTCTTTTACGGCTTCATCAAAACGAATGTTCCAGCTTCTTGAAGCTTGTTTGAGTCCATAAATGGA